AAGCTGACGGCCGTCCTAAGGCTATGAGAACTGTTTTAGTCGCTTAGTCAATTCACAAGCACAGATAGATTCATAAGACCATCGTACACTGAAATAGTTGGAGATTTTAGTGGGCAAGTTTGTTGGTTTTTCGTTGACGTCTGTCGCGTCGATCGTCTGGACATATACAATACATTTCTTTTGTTATGGTCGCTGCTAACTTCGCTGCCGACGATGATGTTGATCAGTGCTCATGTACGAGACGTTCGTTAAATTTGATTCATGAGTCTGAAAATGTGAAGTAGGACTGGTTAGGTATTATTGTATGTTGATTTGATGACGGTGCCCAAAGCTGGATTGCGGCCGAGGAAACGAGGTTTTTAAAGATTGAGTGATTGCTGCGTAAGGTTATAATTTTCATATTTGTAAGGTAGTTTACGATACAATATGAGATGATACTAAATGAGGATGATGATATTTTTGATTCATATTGTGGTTGCTATAGCTTCGTAGATATACAATTTAATATGTATGTATCTTTGCTGTCCTTTGCCGTTGGCAATCTGCAGCTTACCTGCTTCTCAACACGTTCTGTGACCAAATAAAAATGTTTGTTTTTATTTAACTAACTGAGGTTGCTGCCTCAACAATTTCACACAAATTGGACAAATGAAGCCACAGCATTAGTCAGTAATAATGGGTGGTTTCACCTCTGCTCAATGACGGAGGTAGTGGTGATAGTGGTTTAGTAATTTAGCGTCAACAAAACCTTTGCAATGCCAATTTCAATTTACTACTTTGACTACAAAGCTTATATACACAAACATACGGATATAAGGGAACACATATTTGTATACCGAAAGTTAAATTCTCGTGCGCTAAAGTTGGCGCCACTTACAACAATAACAACTATAAAACAGAACTGATCTCATGAATATGATTATGATGAAATTGACTAAACTATAATTAGACCAGTGCACCTTTACATTCCCTACAACAACTGTTGCATGAAGACAACGCATTGTTTTATATAATATGATCAATATTTCTGGATCATTTTTGTTTCAATTTCTTTAAATACTTTATCATTTCAGACAAATGTTTCCTCAAATGAAATTTCGCGTGTCGGGACTAGACGCAAAGGCAAAATATATTCTGCTATTAGATATTGTAGCTGCTGATGACTATCGCTATAAATTTCACAATAGGTAAGTTCTTTTAACATTTTTTAATATACACTTTAAAGATTTCGCATGTGTTCTCCTCTTTTCTTTGTGCAATCTTAAGTCGATGGATGATTGCTGGTAAAGCAGATCCCGAAATGCCCAAGCGAATGTACATTCATCCCGATTCGCCAACAACTGGTGAGCAATGGATGCAAAAAGTCGTCTCATTTCACAAACTTAAACTGACAAACAATATCAGTGATAAACATGGATTTGTAAGTACTGTACGTTTAATCTGTTTACCGAAATAATCAAGTGAAAAGCTTGATCATTTCCAGATTGAAAACAGAAACAGCCGTCACTCAGAAGTGGCCAAAATAAAAAGTTTTCTCAACTAAAACATTTTGCATTTGGATTAATGCTTCTCGATAATGTTTAAAAATTTAATTGAGCATAAAATGTAAAATTCAAATTGAGAAAATTATTTAACGGCTGTATGTATATATTTAAAATTTTGTGAAACCGTCTATTTGAAATCATAATTCAGCTTTTAATACAAATTAGCTCTAAATATGTATGCGTAATAGATAAGCATGTCTATATATTATAGTAATAGCTAATTTACAGTTTGATGTCGTGGACTTCGTTGTTGGACAGTTTTGATGGTGATAAATTTCCACATTTACACATATGCAATTCATCGCAATACTAAACGAATTTGCTAAGTAGTGAATTATGGGTATGTGCATGCAGGAAGATGCTGTTTTATATGCTTGTGTGACGGTGATAAAATGTAAAATTAATATCTGGTTGAATACGCAGTCAATGCGGCAACATCGATTCATGTTTCTTTCAATCAGACTTTGGATAAAATGTCTTGTTTGAAATATGCCGACAAAGTCGAGGTTTTTGCTTGAGTGGAGACATATATACGATATGCAAACCATCATTCAATGCTCTTCAGTAAATTTATTTATTGATAAAGAAAAGGAGAAACTGCTTTGCCAAAGTAGCAAACAGTTTGCATGTTTAGTGTGCAGTTCAACTAGCAGTCCCTCTTAATTCTGCATTACGTGGCCGCCCGTTGTGTGCGTATGCTATAAATGAGTGGCTGGAGTACAGATAGCTATGTTTAGAACAAGTTGCATTCGAGCTCGAATGTTGTTTCAAAATTGTTGACAAACTTAATAAACATGAATTACTGTTGCGATTAGTGTTCTGCGTATGCGTACCCGATATACTTATTAAAATCTTTAAATTTCATTCAAACCATAGGAAACATACCACCTTCATTGATGTAATGTCAAAACTTGTATACACTCAATACATATTTTCTTAATGGACTTTAGACTACAAAATAATTTCATTGTGTCTATTTATCCCTTTTGGACTTAGGCATAAATTTTGTTCACTGTTCATTTTTAATCAAGAAAGCAAGTATTCATATGTATCAATGATCATTTACTTGGATAAAATATAACCAGAAAATTTATTTCTGCTTATGTTTGACTTGAAAATTAAGAAGAGTTTTCTGATGATCGGCTATACTCAGCTGCAAAGTATAGAGAAGCATATATAAGTAAGTGTCACTCCCACCTATCGATATATATAGGCCTTAACATTTTATTCTTATACGCATCCATATGCACTTTTTACATTTAAATAAAGAAATACGCTCGGAAATGTAGTAAAATGCCTTTGGGAAACGAAACATCTGCCAACCTCTCGAATACTACAGAAAGTGATAGTTGTTTGTACTGTACAATTATATTGATTTAAAGAGAGGTGAGGGTTTCTTATTTTGTATACGTCACTGCCCAATGAACTGCTGAACTGTTAAATTCTAAGACTGAGTACGTGTCAAAACATAACCGCCATACATTCAATTCCCACAAGTAAAATAATTTCATAATTAAACTTTAAACCTGCTTATGAGAAAGACTTCCGAAATGAAAACATTGGATCACATTTTTTAGCAACGCTATTAAAATAGGTCCGTGGAATGGGGTAATCGATGTTATATGAAACCGCAAAACCAAATAAGTAAAGGAGAGTAAGAAAAATGTTACATTTGTCATAAGTCGAATCTGCACCATCACCTACATTACCGTCTTTTAAGAAGTTTCACATGTATGTATGTGTGGGTTCTCTCGATCGTCCGAGCACTAGTTAGGTAAAGTTCGACGTTCGAAGAAAATGATTAATAATTAAATGTATGGTATATGGAATTTTAATTTAATAGCAGCAGAAGTCATAAATTTTCAATCACTTGTGATATCATTTTTTTTTTTTTTTTGCTCTACGCTTTATAAACCTGAGAATAATCGTTACTATCTTGTTCGTCTTTCCATTCTGTGAGTTAATAATTGTTGCAAAAATAACATTTTCTTTATGCAGAGCTTAAGGATGATATAAATTAGTATTTGCTCGTAAGATCCAAATTCAAAAGTTGAAATAGACTTAAATTGTGACATAAATAGTTGGTTTCTAGAAATCAAGTTTGAAATTGTATTCGCAAATCATAATATTTTAAACTAATCTTAGCTTTTGTTTATCCGAACTGTTAAATAATTTAAATAAAAATGAAATCCGTTAATAGACACATTGACATCTCTACAATTAAATTACAATTATTGAATGATTTTTCCGTATTCGCCCCCTGTGGCCGTCTCCGATAGATTATAATTTCCAAGAGACTTTAGCTAATCATCAATGTATATAAAAGAAGTTACTTTCTTAGTGTTACTTGCGGAATGATAAATTTGATATAACATCTTGGAAGCACAGAAAAATAAAAAACTACTCAATAAATGTGACCTCGCTCATGTGATAAAGGTTTACTTTGTACAAGCATGTAAGTAAACTTTCGCGTGCGTGTATATATATAAAGTGTCGGCCATGTTGATTTGCAGGAAGAGCATCCACACCCTTTGTTGTATAACAATAAATTAAGCCTTTGTGTTGTACATTTCGATCCTCGAAATAGGGGTTGAGTTTAAATAAGTGCGTCCACATCTGTGAACTAACATACACACTATACATATATATATGTTGTAAAATATTATATGTATGTACATACATAAATAAATGAGCGATGGTCTCCGATCAATTCCGGTATATGCACACAATTCTTAGTTTGTATTGCAAATCAGGCATACACTTTCTAAGTTTTTGTTGAACACTTTTGTGTTTTTAAGGTTAAAATGTTAACATTAAAAGTATCGCTTCAAGCACATTTAAGAGACAAATGGAGTTAACGCACTAGCTAACAAATTGGCCAAATTCGTTTGATTTTCTATATGAGTTGTTAAAGAATTCCATTAGGGGGCAAATAGAACTCTTTAAAGTAATTGATGGACGAAGAAATGATTAAATTTTACTTTTTTTCAAATATTGCTTATGAACTTCCGTATCCTTACGTATGAACATATTCATATGCGATGAGAGTTAGCAACAATTGATACAATTTATGTATCTAATGGAAGCAGTTTGTCAAAAATGTTATTCTTGGACACACAAGCATAGAATGGTGATTTTGGTTTCCCTGAGAAACGATTACTTAGGTATTGCTCTCGGATAAAACATTTATTAGTCACACCGCGACGCAGTCTTAATTAGGAATAGTTTTCAAAAAACATTTTTAACTTATTTTTCCTAAAGAGAAACTCTTCAATGCTTTTAGAAATTTACCACTAAAATTAAATAACATCTGTTCATTGAACATCTTGGCTGTTGCTTCAGCAGAAAAATATCTTATAACTTTAATCAGAGTCACCCCATTGATAATTTTATACTATAATGTCTACAATATAAAAACACAATTTACTAAAACACGCGGTTAACTGTCGACTTCTTGTTCGAAATATGTACAGCTATACCTTTCTAACCGTCATATCGATTAAGGAAAATAGCATTTGATAAGTAGTAATCTCTTGTTGATCTGATCAACTAATTCCTCCCGAGAGGATATTTATGCTATGATACCCTTTTAATAATTACTAAACGTACACCCGGCCGTAAAGACAATTTCAGCCGCAATTTATAACATTTGCAGCGCAGGAGGTATACAGATAAGATATCAAATGAATTACACTGATGCAGATACAAGACGCTGTGTATGAGATATGTCTCCTTTGTATATGTATCACAGATATTTGTGACATGAATGCATGAGTCTTTAAACACATAAAAAATGGAAAGACAAGGGTAGGTTTTCCAGTACTTTAACCATTCTAGATATACCGTATGATGTATTACTTTAGAAATTTTTATAAATTCTTTAAAAACTAGTTAAGTTTTTTGTGAAAATATGCTAAGTTTGATAAGTCGGCTGTAATTTATGCAAATAAACGACTAAACAATGAATCGTATTCATAATGTTAAATAGTAGTTTAATAATTGTCCCAAATAAAATAAGTTTCCCATTCCATTTATGACGCTCAAAAATAATTGCAGAAGGTACTCCTATTTTTTATCATCTGGATATTTTACATCGGTTTGTCAATCATGTCATCATGTCAATTTTGGGATTGTAAAACCAAAAAAAAAAGAAATTAATTATATATATTTTTGGTAATTACTTTAGAACATTATTCTATTGGTATGATGGCTAGAGGTAAAAATATTGAAGAAGGATTTCGAATAATACTCCAGAGCAGGTGAGAATTTAAATCTATCGCAAAGGCTCCTCTCAACTTTTTATATAATGTGAAGAGAGAAGAGTAAAAAATATTCGGCCTTAGAAAATATCAATTTGAGTTTTTTAAAAACATTTCAATTATATATATGAATTACATCACTGTGCGATCAATGTTCTATACCCAAATGAAATTCCTTTTTTTCTGGCATTGAAGAATTTCTCATAAAAATTACTTCTCCTTCTTAAATAACTTTCTTATTGCGCTGAAATTCAATTTAGTTACACATTTAATAAAATATATGTTGGGTGTTCTTAGACGAAAAACCTTAGTATATTTTTTGAATATAAATTACATGAAGAGCATCTGTTGTCATACCAGTTCAATTACGTAAACATCGAATTGCATATATTTTAAAAGGATTTTTCACTACGTCTCTAGGAAAAATGCAAACATCTAATTGGGCCTGTTTGAATCCAACTCAAATCGATCAAAGGCCTTAACTTTTGAGGTTTATCTCTTTGCAGTGCTAGGAGTTTTTGACGCCTACACTCTTTCTACTTGAGCTCCCGGATTCGCGGTATCTGTCACTTTATAGATAGCACGCGAATATTGTCTGTTAGGACATACTTCAACGATCATATTGC